AAAAATATGTAAACGTACTAATCAGAATTATAATATTTCTGACTGTCAAAATTTCCCATATTCAAATCGAAGTGAATCGAATCGAATCGAATTAAATCGAATCGTGGATCGAATCGATTCTGGACCTTGTGAATCGGAATTGAATCGATTCTAAAAATCAGTGACGATACCCAGCCCTACTAACTACTCCTGACATTTTGGAGATGTTAGCTCTTTATACAGTAAAGTTACAGTGGGATACAAATAATATCAGGCTGATCCTGCCATGATTTGTTCCCTCGGTTCAAATCACAGACAAACAGTATCCCACAGCTGTTTATGTTTTTGAACCAGTTTTGCAGAAGGATTGAAAAATGTATTGATAGCAATGTTGAATATTATTACACAGGGAAAAAAAACAACTACACGTAAGATAATTACACCGTGACGCCTCTGCCGTTGTAAATGGAGGGACAGTAACTGCGTGTGTATGTAAGCGTGTAAAACCTGCAGATAGTCAGATTAACAGTATTTCGTCTCTATCTGCCATTCTGCAATTCATCTCATGTAAACAATCACGTCACAGCGTGAGGTGAAAAAAGGCACATACCTTTGACATTGCGTGACGAACTCTGTATTCCTCATCCACGTGTAAACGCAAAAAAGGAGTTTTAAAGAATCTCAGTTTTCGGTGATTTGAAACGCGTTTATGTGTGGACGACACAGCTGCATTTTCAAAAATACCCGTGTAGGTGTGGACGTAGCGTAAAAGAGTTAGTAGTTTATTTTATTACTACCTGTAATTTATTGCAGATTACTTGTATTTGCTTAATTGTTTACTAAATATTTGAGGTGTAAAATTAACCGCAATGGAGCAAAATATAGGTGTGTGGTTGGAGGATGTGTTCGTGCGTGCGTGTGTATGTGCGCGCGCAAGGGGGGGCGCGAACATTTTTTGGAAAACAAAGGTGGGCCCAGCAAAAAACAAATGTGCGATTGGATCAACTGGTGCTGTTTGATTTGCGGTTTGAGCAGGAAGTCAAGGAGCCCATTTATGTGAAAATGTAAACGACCGTTTCTGAATGGAGGAGGGGGTCTAAGAGTACATCGTTCACCATCTTTTAATGCTGTGATTGGAGCCATTGTTCAACTCCCTGTGAATGGTACTAAAAGCCATTGATCAATGATTATGATAATTTGCATATTAATGATTATGACACTGACCTGCTGGCCCATTGTTGGTCAATGGTGCTAGCATCGGTGATCCACTGAAAACAGAAAGTTATGATTCTATAACAGATTTACACATATATAATAAAAAAGGGAAGAAAAATAAGCCCTGCATTGGCCGGGAATCGAACCCAGGCCTCCCGCGTGGCAGGCGAGAATTCTACCACTGAACCACCAATGCCTGCTGCAGAAGCGTCTCCACTGAAAACACATGATGGCCCAACAGGCCACTAGCACATTTAGCATTGTTTTCAGGCCCATATGTGACAAGCAAGGGTGGATCTGACTATGAAACTAAAATTGGCCAACTACACAGTCAGCAACTTAAGCACACAAGAAAGATGGCGGCCCCTCTGCTTGTCTCTAAATCAGTACAGGTCAATGTTTGATTGTCTGCCAATGACAAAAAGTTTAGTTTAAAAAACAAAAGAGTAAACGCCGCAGTCCCATTCCTCAATGAAAGTAACAGTTCCACAGCAACAAGGACAACAACAAAAACTCTCTCAATACACGTCTGAGAGAAAGGTATGAAAACGACAAAACACTCTGATACTGAGTAAAAGACAAAGAAAAAGAAAAAGTCTGGAGAAAAACACAAGAAAGATGGCGGCTCCTCTGCTTATCTGTAAATCAGTACAGGTCAATGTTTGATTTTTTGTGTGTGAGATGGGAGATGCTGACCTGTGTACAGACTCATCTTTGCCATGTTGTTCTCTAACAGCTTCGCCCAATGAGACGCCGTCCTCGCCACATATAGACCTAAATGCAGAGAGCACGCTGTCTCCAACACCACTCTGTGCAGACACATAAATGAATACAGAGTTACACACAATACAATACCAAAAGCATCCACTACTTGTTATAATGATAGCCTGATAATATGTAATAATACAAATGAAATACCCTGTATTTATTTCTGACTTGACCTCTGTAGATTTTTTCTGCTAAATTACTGGAATCGGTCACTTGTTTTGAGTCACACTGGATAACAAAAATTGTCTGTATTTTAATTCTTGGGCATATCGTGTTTTAGAAAAAAGGATATCCATGGTATGCTTATGGTCATTAGCCAATGAGTGAGCCGTTTCACAGAAAGACCCACCCATTTTTGTTTTGTCTAGTTTTTTTAAAAAACAAGACAGTAGAAATGCTTCAGACTGACTGACCTAAGGTGCCCACCAGAGGACATTGTGGCAAACAAGTGGTGGGCAGGGTGCAAGGGGTCACCTGTGATGGCCTTGGTTTTCCTGAGACTGAAGGAGCTGGCAATGGAAACATGGAAACCATTGCTAACTGCACAATTCCTCAACCTTAAAAACAATATATTTGCATAATGACTGAAACGAGCACCACTGACAAACAATGGGCTTAGGCACCCTTCTCGATTCAGAGATGGTCTTCCCCTTTTTATGTAAATGGGCTACTTGACTTCCTGCTGAGAGGGGCTCAGTGGGGAGGGACTCTAGCAGCAAGGAGATGCTCCCCATCTGTTGACAACCAAGAGGTGCCCCTTAAGTTCTGTTCAGAGTAGGGCTCTTCAAATAGGGCTGTTCGATATAATGATATATATTGGATGACGATATAAAAACGTCTATCATTTCATTTTACGCTATCGTTTGTTTCGTGGTGTCGCAAAATAAACTAAACTGTTTACGGCGATATTTTTTCATCATTTTGATGGTCACTGTAGTAGCTATATTAATTTCTTAAAGTTCTCTCTTTCTCTTATATTTAATATAACCACACTACGGACGGACAAGCGCCTGTTTTTATGCGTTGTCGTTAGCAACAACGACGGTAAAACCATTGCGCCACGTGTCCGCTTGTTTATTTTCCACATAAACCTTTTAGAATAAAGCTCAAGATCCTGTTGAGACTGTTCAAAATAAACTGAATCACATGAAAGAGTATGCAGACTGTTTACGGATGAGAAGCAAAAAGGAGCCGTCAGGTGCTAAAAAATAAACCTTAGACTCAAATGTTAGAACAGGCTTTTCCCGTCTGAATGCCTACACATAAATAATAGAGAGGGGGATGAAAAGTAAGCAGTGCATTGGCCGGGAATCGAACCCGGGCCTCCCGCGTGGCAGGCGAGAATTCTACCACTGAACCACCAATGCTTGACACTGTGACCTCTGCAAGGAAAACAGAGCATGGCCCCACAGCTAATTTCTGTGCCACAAAGAGCAGGCAAATGCAAAAGTGACTTTAACCAGTATTCTATCCAAAGTTCACCACACTAGCTTTCAGTCCTATATAGTAAGTACAGAAGCAGTTTTAAAAGTGGACATTCATAGCTGCTCTAAATACCCACACACGGAAGAAAAAAATTAGTCTTGCATTGGCCGGGAATCGAACCCGGGCCTCCCGCGTGGCAGGCGAGAATTCTACCACTGAACCACCAATGCTTGCTGCTGTAACTTTTGCACAGGAAATGGAGGGCTTTCTGGGCCAGTCGGCATGTACTAAGCATTATGTGTTTTGAAATTTCCAGTGCATTTAACACCATCAGGCTAATCCTACTGGGTGATAAGATGACAGCGGTGCACGGGGATGACACCATATTTCTTTTTCTGAAAGAAATATGGTGTCATTTTTTTTTTTTATTTTACTTTTTTTTTGTACTTTTTCCAATTTTATAATACATGCAAACAAAATTATGAAAAAGGAACACAAAAGAAACAAACTAAAAGGAATAAAGGACACCTAATCTGTGGAAGAGGAAAAAAAAAAAGAAAAAAGAAAAAAAAAACAACAAAGAGAGGTTCCTGCCTTATGGGGCTGAGTGAGTCTTATAGGCTATCCATTTTGTCCACTGTTTTCGGTGTTTATCAGATTTCAGTCTCAAAGTGTAGGTCATTTTCTCCATTATATATATGTCCTCGATTACATCAGTCCATTCTTCCAATTTTAAAGGGTCACTTTTCAGCCAGTTTTTTGTTATTACCTTTTTGCTTGACAACAACATAATTTTAAACAAATAATGGTCCTCCTTTCTTACATTTTCCCACATTCCAAAATACATTACTCGTGCCTCACACGGCACGTCATACCCCAGCACTTTCTTCATTGTTACCGCAATGCTTTCCCAGTAAGGTTTGATATTTTTACACTTCCAAAACACATGAGAATGATTGGCGTCCCAGTCTCCACATAATCTCCAGCATCGTCGGGGTGTTTTCAGGTGCTTGCTTTTGAGATAACGAGTAATAAAGAACCTAATCACATTTTTCCATGGTGTCATAAGTTGCTATAGTTGCACACCTCTCATGACACAAAGAAAAGAAGAAGAAAACTAGTCTTGCATTGGCCGGGAATCGAACCCGGGCCTCCCGCGTGGCAGGCGAGAATTCTACCACTGAACCACCAATGCTCACAGGAGAGACTTTTGCACAGGAAATGGAGGGCTTTCTGGGCCAGTCAGCATGTACTAAGCATTGTGCTTTTTGAAATTTCCAGTGCATTTAACACCATCAGACTAATCCTACTGGGTGATAAGATGGCACGGGGATGACCTTTAAAATATATGACACCATATTTCTTTTTCTGAAAGAAATATGGTGTCATATATTTTACAGTTGCTATAGTTGCACACCTCTCATGACACAAAGAAAAGAATAAGAAAATTAGACTGCATTGGCCGGGAATCGAACCCGGGCCTCCCGCGTGGCAGGCGAGAATTCTACCACTGAACCACCAATGCTCACAGCAAAGACTTTTGCACAACAGAATAAGAACGGACTGCCGCCCCCTTTAGCCATTCTTACACTATGCCAACACTCAGTAGACGGTAAGGATCAATGTTACATTTCCAGCAAACAGAAAAACGGTGCATTCTACAACAGGCTTAGAGAATTCATACCTTTTATGAACGCATCCAAATACTTATTCATATTTATTTGATTCGAGAAGGTAAACGCATAATTTTTATGTCGCCTCTGACAAAGAAAAAGGAACGTTGCATTGGCCGGGAATCGAACCCGGGCCTCCCGCGTGGCAGGCGAGAATTCTACCACTGAACCACCAATGCGCACATAGACAAGAAAAATCAAGAATCAAGAAAAATTCTGTGACACATTCTAAGGGTTGAGTTGCTTGTTTTTCTGGACTCAATATTTCTTCTAAATGGAAGGTGTGTGATAATTTCACATTTCATTTCGGAAAAAAATCTTTCCCGGGTCGCCGGATTTTGCAATTTAAGGTTCGCTTGTAGTGTATGCTAACTTATAAAAAGCCTTCGCAAAGACCTTTAAAAAAGTGCCACCTAAACTTTTACAGGTTTCGCTGACTCAAGTTTAATAATAATTCGCATTTGTACACGGTGGTATTGGGCCTCGTGCTTTATTAACCCTTTTAATTAATGCTTATTCATAATTAGCCTTGTTAATTAATGCTTTGCTAGCAGGTTGTACCGTGCACGCAGGTAAGACATGCTGTGCACGTGACTTCGTGCACAACACGCATTGAAGTCGAACGACCAACATGAAGGACGTTAAATAACACTCACCGCAGCGGTGGCTGCAGATTTAATGTGGCGACAATGCAGGAGGCAGCGCCGAGGAGACGGCAGCAGCCGCCCTCTAGTCAGCCCGAGGAGCATTGTTTGCAAATGTCACCGACGGCGACACACAAACGCAGAATGCCGCTGACAACCTAAAAGCTACTTCTAGCACACCACTTCCGGAACTCTGTTTTCAAAATAAAACAAACACACTCTCACTCTCTTTCTCCCTCTCTCTCTCTCTATGTATATTCCAGGATGAAGCATTTGTAAAAGACTGAGTCATTTATAATGGAAAATAAATATTACTATATAATATTTTGCAGCCAATTTTGGGAAGTTTTTTGTCGTTAGGGTAAAAACTGTTTTTTCAAAGATTTTCTAAGTGTTAACCTCCTGAGAACCACCAATGCTGACCTGGGACCTGAAAATGAGAGCCACATATAAGGATATTCGTTTGAAATTTCGATAGGACAGTAACAGTATAATGTCCTCGTAAGTGGATATCAGGCCCTTGCAGAGCAAAATTTAGTATTTTGGTCTAAATAACCCAGAATGTGATGTCCACATATGTGGACGCCAGGTCCTAGGAGGTTAAACAAAAAAAAGGTTACAAATTAATAACAGATAGCGAAGATTGACTGTTACTGCAAGATTTTAACATAAGCTAAATAAAAACAATGTCCTTTTGTACTTGCTTGGTAAAGCGTGTTCTTTTATTCTGAAACCGTCAACGCGCATTTCCCGTCATGCCAGTGCTACATCGCCGAAGGTACGCTCTGCTGTGATTGGTTAATGGAGTCACACCGCGATCAATGGCGTGTATTTTTGTAACTCTCTCTGCGACCAGAGGATGGCGCTCCGGGCCAAAGAAAAGAAGACGTTAGTGGTTGAGTAGGCTCGTCAAAGTTACATTTCGGGACTGTAGGGACGTTACTAATAAGCAATAAGGGCTCATCCGGTCCATAGAAAGTAAGTTAACGAAATTAAATACGAAATTAAATAAATGCATGTTCGTGTTTGTTATGAAACCTTTGTCGTGACGTGTTCTTGTTTGCGTTTCAGTTCAAGGTTCATACGGCTGTTTACAGCACTCGAAAAGCGCATCAAAACAGATAAAAGCAGCTCACATTATGATCATTTGCAGCCTTTTTATGAAACGATTGAAGTAAAAAGTTCTTAGGTTGCTATCTGCTACATTTTGATTTTGTTTCCTTCAGATCCACCAATATGAGTTGGTTTGATTTGGCTGTGTGAACCGATTGTTTAGCAGAAATCTGCACGGACCGGTTTATGTCCAAAAAGAGTTTCATGGACCAGCCTTTAAGGTGTCGCGGATAAATACAACAAAATAAAACCAGTACCGGTACCAGAAAACAAGAAAATGTATTTATAACACATGGGAAAAGACCCAGGGAAACCAAGTTAACGATAAAAAATAAATATAAAAACCCTAAATTTCACACTCGAGCCTCAACTCTCGCGGCCCGCTACCAAACGACTCACGGGCCAGTACCGGTCATTAACTTATGCGCCGATTTTACCGGGAGGACCGGGCAGCTTGTGCGGACTCATAATTCATTCTCTCGTGTATTTGCAGTGTTAAATGAAGGGGACGCAACTTTAAAGATTAACTGTTTTAAAGACAATCTGGTGGTCGTACACTGGAGAATACTGATGTAATCAGATCCATAAAGTCAGGACTCACGTTTTGTTAATCTTGTGTAAATGCGTAAGTACACCTTAAACATCTGTATCCTCTCCAAGAGGCCATGTACCCTGTAGACCTGCCATCTGTGGATCACAATGACCTGACATCTGCGTCTGAACAGTACATGTCCTCTCTGGAGTCCAGCCCCTGTGATAATGAGTGGTTTCAGTCGTCGCAGACCTCAAAGGTACCTAACCACATTTGGATGACTGATTATTATTGCAAATAATATATTCTTCAAGGTCTGCTGTAAATGAAATTACGTTTGCAGTTATTCACACTGATTTGTTTATTCAGTCTACAGTAAAATCTAGAAAAATCACAGCTAACCATAAACAGCTTCACATTCTTAAAGCAAGAGCCTAAAATCTTTTAGCATCCATATTATCCATTAACTGTGTTCTCCTAGTAACTCGAAATGTAACTTTATCGTCTACATTTCAAGTTATTTTCTCAAAACTTTGAGTTAGTAAGTGTAAACTTTGAAATCTTATGTAGATGTAGGTTTCTTCCTGTTAAAAGGGAGTTTTTCCTTCCCTCTGTCACCAACTGCATGCTCATAAGGGATCGTCTCATTGTCGAGTCTTTGCCTTACAATTTGAAGTGCCTTGAGGTGACTGTTGTGATTTGGCGCTATATAAATACAACAGAGTTGGATGTAATAACACCTAATCATGCATATGTTTTGGTATTGAAACGCACAACAGATCTTTTAAAGCATTAAACTGAACTTGTTTTGGCGTGCAGATGCCCTGAATTAACTCTCTGTGTGGTTACTGTGACCCTCGAACGGGAACTATGGTGGAAGTGTTTTTACCACCTTACCAGCATTTGGCTTGATGTTATCTTCCTGTCTGCTCAGGTGGCAATAACAGCAACAAATGTGAGCCAGCTGCAGCTGTTTGAGGGTGGCCAGCCTGCCTGCACGGTGCTGGCACTGCACCCTCCGGATGATCAAACACAAGGTTTGGAGCTCAGCACGCTGCTCTGTGAGATGTTCCAGCCTCAGACACAGACTGACGCTCTCTGCTCTGATGTTACCTTCCAGTGGTCGGCCTATACCTGCACGGGAAGTGGTGGCTTTTGGATGACGTCTTGCGAACGTCAAGCAAATCCAGAAGCGGTTTGGTGTCGGTAACTGTGCTAAAGTACATTTGTCTAGACGCTATGTCACTTCATGGCTCGTACACAGGTGTGAACAGTGAGAGAATAAATCAGTCTACTCATGACAAGAATCATCTCAAGATTGCATTGTAGGTGTGGTCGGTAGCAGCTCATGCAGCGGGTTTGAGGGAGAAACTCGGGAGAATTTTCTCCAACCACGTCATCTCAGTGTACTTCAGACTCAGCAATATGGTGACGTGCAAGATAAAAATAGTGGTCAACGACCCTCAGGACCACCTCTAAAGGTGACAGCCCCCATTAGGACGAACTTAAAGAAGTCAAGATGCCTTCTTTTTTTTCAAGTCTTAAGACATACATAAATACAACCATAAATACATACAACCAAGCTGTGCAGTGGAGTGTGGAGCTGGAAAATGCATGAACCTATGTTATACTGGCTTTTGAAGCTTGCCATAGTTTTGCAGGCTTCAGGTGCAAATTCACAGAAAAAGTCTGTTCTATCAATTTCTAAATTAAGATTTGCTGAATCGTTAATCTACCAGAGCCGACTGTCTGGAAACGTCTGCATGTTGTCCGCAGGTCCAGTCTGTTATGGAGAGGGTGATTGTATTTCTGCTCAGTCAGATAATGGAGAGGCCTTCACTGTTCTCCCTGCATCCTCCCAAAGAGAGCTGCAAAGTGCTGTGGAAAGACGACCAGGCGGTCGGCTTTTACACCGTGAAGCACAAAGGTGGGCAGAGGAGGATGAGAGTGATTGGCAAGGGGCAGAAGACTGGCTTGAGTCGGATTGAAACTTTAATTAAGTCAGAAACAGCATGAAATTAGGAGCCGGGTGGAGGCGGGCTGCAAAGTGGCCTGCAGATGTGCAGCAAGTGTGCATGATCTAAAATATCTTATATGAGATAGATGAGTTGGATGTGAATTTGCATCAGATGATCTTCCAGGATCGTGCAATTCCTCAATTTTCTGATCACATCCAGGCCTAACTAATCACACCAAGATGACTATTAGGAAGGTGTTCACTTTGAAGCTTCACTAATCTCTTTCTATGGATAAATCATACCCTCTGTTGTCCTGCTATTTGAAGGAGTTACACTGACTTAGCTTTGCAGACCTGGAAGCTACATCCACCTCTTAAATGCAATCCACGTCCTCCTCTGCTGTTTCAGGGAGCCTGTGTGACGGCTGGAGCAGCTGCTGTTACCTGCTGCCTGTTCTGGACACTGTGCTGGTGAGGAGCAGCTGCAGGAGGAGAGGCTTCGGCCTTCAGATGCTGGAGGATTTCTGCTCCACCTTCTCTACGGAGGAGTTTCTGGGAGTCAGCTCTCCATTATCCCCCAGCATGGCTGCAGGTCAGCTCAGGTCCTTCTTTGACCTGTTTGTATACTTGTTTCTTTATGTCTCTGTCGGACAGTTTGCTGGATTTGGTCAAGGAACTGCATGTTTTCTTCGCTTTTGTTCAATAGAAATGTTCATTAGACTCACGCACTAATGATCTAGTTATAGCTAAAAGCTGATCACACACCTGTACATCAGGTTTTTTTTAATAGTGGAATTTTAAATGCATTTCCCAAGTGAAACACACAGAAATCCAAGATGACACTGATTGTAACTGGAAACAGAGGTGAACTTGATAATTCACCTCTGTTTCATTTGAGTGTTTCATTTGAAGTTTTTTGTCGTCGCTTTTCCCAGAGTGTCTCCTGGTGAGACGTGCCCAGCAGGTGTCAGGATACACTACTGTTTTTGTTATTATACCTTGGCGCTAAGCACGGGTGACTGTAACAATCACCATATTAAAGCGTATGGTGGCACATAACTGTTATAATCGTGTCTTTTGGGTCCCAGCAGTGGTTGTGGATGTGGAGTCTGAATGGCTTGGTTGGCTCAGAGGTCGCCTGAAACAGCCGATTGGTATCAAAGAGTTTTGCTGAAGTTTTGCAGCTTCACAGAAGCAGAAACTTGGGTTTGGAAAAGTCTGAGGAGACCATGGAGAACTAATTTTTTAGCTGGCCTCATGAAAGTTCTGGCAAGCCGTCCGGCAGCTCAGGAAAGGAAAGCAGGCCTGGGCTCAGGCTCGGTCAGGGATAAAAACTGCTGTCCAGAACTAAAGATATTGTCAGGCGCTGGAAAGAACACTTAAGGAACACTTGAATCTGACCAAAACATCATTTTTGAAGGAGAGAGAGCCTGAACACTCATGGGAAGACTCACTAATTGCTTCATTTCACTGATTAATGACAATGGTTTTTACAGGGTTACACAGATCTCCTTTAAAGTGCCAGATTAAGGTGATATTGACCATTTTTCCAAAGCTCATTGTGTGCAAAGCGTTGTTTCCCAGACTTTTGCTGCTTTCTTTGATTCCTTTTTTTCCCAAACTCTTTTTATTTTTCAGAATCACAGCAAATTACAGTACAACAACAGAGTGATTGCACACCATGCAAAAAAGACAAAAAAGACTTTTGCCCAAAAGTGCCGGTCAAAGTGACATTGTGGCTATACATGTAAAAGAAACCTAACCATGTCATAAACGCGGTCCCCACAGCAAACCACAGAGTGGAGACAGTACGGGATATCCACAGCAACTCAAGATTATCTTTGGTAGAAAAAACAGATTAATAATAGAGCGCCTCATGACTAAAAGAAGTCAGGAGTGAACAAAATAAAAGCAGTAGAGTAGCATAGAACGAAGTACAATAAAATAGGGACAGCCAGATTCACAGTAGTATATCACAGAACTGCACTGTTTCTACATTGTTGACAAAGGGTTTCCATGAATTCAGAAATATTGCCGTTGACCCACATAGAGTATGTTTTACCGTTTCCACGTTGCTAAAAAGAACACCTGTAATCCAGGCCTCAGAGAGAGGAGGGTGACTTCCACTGGAGCAAAATCAGACATCTGGCCAAAAGAGTTAAAAAGGCCACGAAATCTGCCTTCAACGCTGGCAAAGCAGTCTCACCAGGTGTCACAGCAAAGACCGACACATTTAGATCTAAGTGCTCCTGAAGTACCTCTAGTAAGGCAGGGACAGGACCACAACATCAGTGAGGCGTGGGCTTGTTTGCATCTATCACAGACAGGAGCAGCATCAGGGTAGATTGTGGAAAGTGTGAGTTTTCACCAGTGGGTGCGGTGCAGCACTTTGCACCGGACCAGTGCATGCCCGGCACTAATTATGCTGTCCTCGCCCTCGCCACCAGCTAGACAGCGAGATAATGATGGTCCAATAATCAGACTTATTTCCTTTTTGCGCTGATTTATTGAAGAATGGCCTCTGACCATTGCCTTCTCTTTGACCATCTTAAAACTGAAAGTACAAAATACTGTATTAGCTAACCAACATTGTAAACTAGCTTGTTACACTCTTACTGCAAGCTAACTAGATAAAACTTTCAAATGTACAAATTATCGAACCATTTTTACACAAAACAAAAGATAATAATTATTTTATCGACATTAATACTTACAGACATATCTTGTCCAAGGCAACAACATTTTAAGGTCCGTATCAGCTTAGAACAATATCATTACGGTATCACTTTCCGCCATCTTTTATTTCTTCATCACGTTCTCATTTTTCCTTTCCCAAAGTAACCGAACCCATATTACAAAGCAGCCACTAGAGGGAGCTCTAGGGCAGTTTACAACTATAATATCCCATTTAAGTTATAAAAGGCAGAACACTAATAGATGACGAGGTGGAAATGTACATTCAATCAATATCAGACTCCACCAACAAAAAGGCTCCCAAAAAACATATGTATGTGAATTTTTGCGTGTATTCTTATAATTGTTACCTTTTTCTTGTGTTTATGTTCTGTTGTTTTGTACACTTCATCTGTTCGTATGTTGTATACTCATTGTTTGTTAAATAAAGTTTTTTAAAAAAAACAAAAAAAAACAAAAAACTAATAGATGACGAGTGGACCCGGAAGAGTATATCCTCCCAAACGTCCTGGGTGATTTCCTTACCAAGGTCCTGCTCCCAAAGCGACTGAATAGTTAACACTGGGACACTCCGGAGATAAAGGATTCTTCATAGCTGCATGAAACAGCACCGTTTTAATTTGGAGGTGGACGCAAAAGAGTCTCAATGAGTGGGGTTAAAGGCTGAGAGGAAGATGAGGTGTCATCACTCGAATAAAGCTACAGACCCGTGGATACCCAAAAAAGTGGGTTACGTTGTTCAAGTTGTTCAAAGGAAGAGAAAATGCCCTTAGAATAGATCATTAAATGACTCCATCCTGTGGCGAAGCCTTAAAAACATGGTTCCCACAGGTTGCAAAGAAAAAATCTGCAGGACAAAATGCTGTCTCGGATTTCTAAGCGCATTCAGCCTCATTATCTACTCATATAATCACTCAGACTTATCCTTGCTCCAACAGAAATACAACAAAACGTGTTTGTGTGTTCAGTGTTCAAAAGGTTCCTGCAGAAGCACCAGCAGCATCGAGAGCGTCTGTACGAGGTGGAAGCTCCAGGGGGCTGGACTCAACGACGAAACATCTGGCTTAACATTCAGCTCGGACGCTACTGCCTCGGTAAACATTGGTTTGTTTTTTATGGGTTTAAGAATATTTTCAGATTTACGTCGAATTGCTAACGTGGGAATGTCTTGGAGACGGCACGTGTCCTTATCTGACTCACATCTTTTAGGTACTGATAAGGAGAGCAGCCCAATATCAGGAGAAACACAGAGAAATGCGCTCAAGGACTCCTTTCACAAGGTAAGAATGTCAGGCTACGTCCACACTAGCCAGGATGAATTTGAAAATGGCGTCTGAAAACGCTCCGCCTCCACACTATTTTCATTTGTTTTCACAGAGTTGCGCGTCCACGGCCGGAAACGCTTACGTTTCAGTACTGCGCATGCGTGATACGCAAGACGATTCGACCTGCCTTAATTCCATCTGCTGTTTATTTACTTTTCAGCTCTTTGAAACGTTGAGGAAAAGCACCGAGTTTTTAAATGGACCAACAATGAGGTGGAGTTGTTGCTGCGAGTAACACAAAAGTACAAAGTTGCAAAAGCGAGTGAGAATTAAAGAATTTGAAGAAAAGCTATCTGGAGCACGTACAGACTTATATTAATCTTTAATAGGGCTGTCAACT